GTTTGTTTGCTCATTGCATACCCAGAATCGTTCACTCTATGTAACCAAAGAATTGCAGACAAATACTGTACCATGAATTCTCTTTTAGTCTTGTTAGCCAGCTAGCTACCAAAAACAGTGTTTGCAGAATAAGGTAGTAATAAGGTAGTAAACACTCAGATGGAAAAAGGAAAGCAACACACCAGATATATTTTATGAAGCTCTCCTGGTTTATTCACACATAATGGAGAAGAAGGTGTCAATAATTAACTATATCCGTGTCCCAGCACATGAGGGTGTTAGCGAAATGAAACCGCAGGTGCTATGTCTAAGCAGGCACTAAATTGGGACAGAGCTGAAGTGGAGGTTGGATAATGATGATGATGAGTTGAGGAAATGTGGATTATGCTGCAAGATGGATTTGAGAAATTCCCATGGTAGGTTTCCAGATGACTGAAATCCATTAGTTGAAGTGGATTCAGAGTAGCCACAACAGCAGAGGAGTAATGTACAACCTACCCTGGCAGTTAAATATGGAGCTCATGGTCCCCAAAACATAAAAGCAAAGTTATTCGTCATACCTTGCAATTCTCCCAACAAAAGCTTTTTCACAATATTCTCTGAACCAAATTGCAGACGACAGCCAGTGGACAGAAAACAACAAAGCAGCGACCCAGGTTGGGAAATGCAATTATCTTTTTGCTGTAGAAAAAAAAGTTAAATAGAGAATGTTAATCTGCATGGAGGTGGAGCTAGCTATCGGTACTCTATAGTCCAATCTCCTGAAGATTTCAAAGGACAGGTTTAAATTAATTCTATCTCTCACAGAAAGTAGGTTGAATGGGTTGTGTCTGTGTAATCATTCCACCTCATCAGACTGGCTGTGAAGCGGCACCTTTGTAGAGTTACTGCACTGTATCAGGTTCAGCAGAAGCTTGATCAGTTTGAATTAGTCATATTGAGTGGCTCCCTCACATATCAGGCTGTTAAAAGCTCACAGCAGCAGTACTGTAGTCGCACCTTTGCTACTCCTGCTTGACAAATGTAACCATATTAGCAAAGACATGAAAAAAAAAGTTTTACATACCAGGTTTTATTTTCTTCTAGTTTTATTATTACTATGGTCTTTAAAGCACACACTGACGCAAGACAGAGTAAAACATTAAACACATTTTTGAAAATGTAGCGTTGACAGGTTCATCAAGTTCTGACAAAGTACACATCACATTAGAATTGGTTTTTGATATTGTGTCATCAAATTGTGTCCCAGACTACAGTGCTTTTTTGTTTTTTAAAGATAAGGCTTGTGCTTTATCTTAATATCCCTGCTGGTCATAGGATGGGGATGCATGGACTGCACGGATGAGGCAAGTAGATGGAGGGATTCAGAAGAACAGGATCCAAAAAAAAGGTAGTTAATGTGGTGATGCTTTCACAGTGTGCAGTCTCATCAGCATTGTTTCCAGCAGCAGAAGCAGGAAGTTGCTTTGAGCAAAGGAGCTCTGATCACAGCTGTAGCTTATCTGCCCGGCACCAAATGGCAGGCAGACAAATTAACATAGTTCAGCATTTGGAGTCGTACTCCCGAGTTTGTGATCTGACAATAGAGCGACAATTGAATTTGGCATACAGCAGGTGGGCACCAACACAGTTTCAGATCAGTGCTAACTTTTCTTCTATCTGCTGGATGTGGCAGTTGTGTGTTAACAAGTTTGACATAGGGCGACTTTTTGCCAGTGTTGTGTTATCAGCTTTTTTTTTCTCTGGAAATGCACAGTAGCATATGGAGCTGCGGTCAGATGTTTACATGCTCTCATCATGGGTATGAATGACATGGCAATTTGGGGATTTTAATGGTTTATTTGAACTGTTTTTGTTTTGTTTTTTCATTGTGGGATGAGTCTACAATATACATCTTTAATGTCTGAAAAACAGTCTTGAATTTAGTTTGAATTTTTCTGATACACACAGCAAAAGCATGCATACCTTCACTTAAAATCTTTTAATAAGTGGCACTAAAAAATGCGCAATTGGTAGTTTCTCTTTGCCAGCATCAAAGGGGTTTGATGCGGTAATGAGTCATTTAGAACAATGGGGAACTCAGTAAATATCTAAAAATAAGAATTGTAGATTTACACAAACTGGGAAGATCTCTTGGAGCCATTTCAAAACAACTGCAGATTCCAAGAGCATCAGTTCAAAAAACTGTATGCAAATACAAGTAATTCAAATGAGTCGGAAGGTCTGGAAGAAGATCCAAACTATCACCCTGAGATGAGAGGAAAATGGTTAGTGTGTGTAACAACCGAAGAACCATCAAGGATGCTTGGAAATTGGAAATTGAAGTATCAGTGTCTGTGTCCACCAGAGATGGGCGCGTTACTGTAATACTTTTTTCGAGTAACGAGTAAAGTAAGGGATTACTATTGCAAAAACGGTAATTAGATTACTGTTACTTTCCCGTAAGCACGCTGCGTTACTGCGTTACTAAAACCGTGATTTTTTGCGAGAGTGTGTCATGACAGTGACGTAAGCGAGTGCGACGTTCGTGACAACAGCTGTGTGCAGATCAACAATGGATCATATATCGAGTGTGGGAGAGAGTATGAGCGTGCAGCGTGGAAGTACTGACCTTACTTTGAGTTTGATTCCATAAAAAGTGACAAAAACATTAGCGTCCGCTATTCACTGCGTGGGAAGAAATCTTCTTTTTACAGCGAAAAAACCCTTAACTTCCGAGCAAGCACCGAGTAGCTACGACATGATGTGAAATTCACAGAGAAACTCGCGGATTCTTCAACTGACCGCTGCGGCACACCTGCACCAGGGTAAACCTCCGCCTACGCCACTCCTGCTATACAGGTGAAAATAGAGCAACAGGACCACTAGTCTTTGATTTTATTTATTTTCTGCTGTGTTTCACTTGCATTTATTTGAAAGAGTGAGTGTAAACACAAAAAACTATTTTATTTTATGTGCTGGAATGTGCAGAAAATAGGGTTAAATGTTAAACAAATTTCTTCCAGTCAGAGAATGTTGCATATAATTTGTTTTTTGCTTGATGCATAAAGTTAAAAGATTAAAACTAATAAAACAAGTTTTAAAAAGAGAGTTTTTCATTTGATTACATTTTGTATGATGGATTATGTAGAAAAAGTAGAATTGGGCTGAAAGATCTCACTTTATCACCTATTCAGGTTGTAAATCGTGTTTTTAAAAAGTAACTAAGTAACTAAGTAATAATTACTTTTGAAAATAAGTAATCAGTAAAGTAACGGGATTACTTTTTTGGGGAAGTAATCAGTAATTAGTTACTGATTACTTTTTTCAAGTAACTTGACCAACACTGGTGTCCACAGTGAAGCAAGTTTTTTTACATTGCCATGGACTGAGAAGTTCCCAATCAAGAAAAAAACCCTGATCCAGAATTGACACCTTCCAGCTCGAATGAAATTTGCAGCTGCTCGCATGAAGAAACCGAATGCCTTCTGGAGAAAGGTTTTCATGGTCAGTCTTTGTGGTCTTTGAACACAAAAATTGAGCTATTTGGCCACAATGATAAGAGGTAACAGGCGGAGGACTAAGGTGCATGTTTCAAGCCTGAGAACAACTGTCAAGCATGGTCATGGTAGCTTTACACTGGCACTGGTGCATTACATCAAGGGGATGGAATAATGAAAAAGGACTACATTCAAATTATTCTTCATCTCACAGGTTGAAATTTGAACACAGCTGGATGTTTCGACAGGACACTTATCCCAAACAGACTTTGCAACTGGTTTTGGAATGGATAAACTGGGCTAACATTAGGCTTCTGGGATGGCCTTCACAAAGCCCCCAACCTCAATCCTACTGAAAATTTGAGGAAAGCACTTGCGAGCAAGGAAGCCAGCCAATTTAAATGAACTCTACACATTCTGCCGAGAAGAGTCGTCAAATATCCAGTTAGAATTGTGAAAAAAGCTTGTTGATGGCCCTCAAAACCATCTGTTTGAGGTGCAACTTGTTAACTTTTAGTGGGAGGCTATGTAGACATTTGAGCCTGTATGAATACGTTTGACCCTGTGTGGATTAGAGGAAAGCCAAAATAAATTCTAACTTGTGCAACTCAATTTTATTTATATAGCTCCAGATCACAACAACAGTCACCTCAAGGTGCTTTATATTGTAAGAACAATATAAAGCACTTACGAGAAGAAAGAACTTATAATAGTAGAGACAAAACCCAAACAATCAAACAACTTCTTTTGAGCAAGCAGTCGGCAACAACAGGAAGGAAAAACTCCCATTTAACAGGAAGAAACCTCCAGCAGAGCCAGGCAAAGGGAGGGGCAGCCATCTGCCGCTACTGGTTGCGGGTGATGGGAGGAAGACAGGACAAAAGACGCCGTGGAAGAGAGACAGAGATTAATAGTAACTAATGATTAAATGCAGAGTGGTGTATACACCCACAGTGAGTGAAAAAGTACAGTCATTTCACCCTGGTGAAAGAACAGTTCAAAGAAATGAAAGGCCCAAATTACCATGACAGTCATGCACATGATGAGTGGATGTAAACTTCTGACCACAAACAAAAAGAAAACACCCTGGGTGTCTGCTTATTACTGTCCAACAGTAGCTATTGAGATGCTTCACAACACTACTCACCACATATACGAACCATATTAATATATTAATATAAACAATATCACCTCAGAATTTTTTTTTTAAATAAAATGGAATAAAATATTGTCATTGTGAACTATCCATCACTATTTGGAAATGCAGTCATTCGTTTAGTATTAAGCTATTCTAGCAGTCTGGATAACACTTTTAATTAGAACCAATATGTCACTCTATGTGTTTTAAACCATAGTTAGCCGGTTTGCACGCTCAGTAATCCGAATTACAGCCTCTGGTGACCATCTGCCGTCTGCACAGACAGCTCCGCGCACTACTTTGTTACTGAATTCACCTCAGCCCGCCCCCTCCGTGTGTGTCTCTCTGTGTGTGGGGGGTTATAGCCTACCGGGCGGAGTAATTCGTGCTGGTATCTATTGAGTGCATGCGTGCGCGAGTGCGTGCTACGGTTTGAGCCTGTCACTCTCGTTGTGCCGCGGCGCGAACACGGGTAGCAAGAAGGACCAAAAATCCGCCTGGTATCAGTTGTTGTCCCTGGAAAGACTGTTTCCCCCCCATCACTAGAGACACCTCTCTTGTTTTAAAGTGCGTCTGCTCTTCAAGGAGAATAGCTGTGTGACACATTACAATGCTTCAAATAAGGGACCTCATCTGGGGATTGTTATTCATCGGCTGTGCAGGTAAAATGAGTTATTTCTTGTTCTAGTCTAATATTAGGTTGTGTGGGGATTAATATCCAGCTGTAGGCAAAGCAAATCTGTGTGAAAGCGCAGGCCGAGACGTGTTGATTCTAGAGCAGCATCCTCTGGTCCCACCGGCGGCATCCTTGTCACTGACTCCGGACAGTGGCGCTGGATTTGGAGCTCGAGCGCTGCAAAATTCACAGTTATCCCAAAAGTTCTCTAAAAAGTGAGGCATCTCCCCCTCTCTGAGGGAAAGCGACATGAATTACTTAGCAGGGCGCATTTTATTCAGTTTTGGGGTTATACAGTTTGATAGAGGCGCGTATCTCGGTGCATTTTGAATATCCCTGCACAACACAGAGAAGTGCAGACGGCCAGTCTCTTTCATTCGGGGTGACTGTTCTCCCTAAGTTAAGTTATGCAACATATTTTTAATAATAATAATAAAAATCCCCACTCGTGCTGCGTGCTGTGGAAGTTAAGCTCCTGAGTTCGTCCCTGTGGGTAAATAGAGGAGGATGCTTCCAGAGACCGGTGGTGTTGCAGTGGGGCGCTTTTTGTGGTCCCCTTTATGTCAGCAGCCAGCTTATTGCTTATAGCCTCTTAAGTCGCTGCAAACGTCAACGGCAAACGAATATACTGTCATTCAAAAGTCCACCTCGGCTTTCTCAGTTCTGCTGGGTCAGACGTGACGCACCGAGGATGGGGTGTCCGGAGAGCCGATCGCTATTAGCGGGAACGCTTTGTTTTAGTCCACTGGAAACAGATTTACTGTCCTTTTTTCTCTTTATTACCTTACTATTCAATTTGTTTTCCGTACGCATGCGCTTAAAACTATCGAATAGATCGATAAGATGCACGCACAAATTTCCACTTGTACCACGATCGGATTTGACACATAACCAGTAGCTGTGCTGATGTGTCCGTGCGGGAGTTTAGTTTTTGCATCCCTGCTCTGATCATATAGGTCGACACTGAGGCATTGCCTCTGTTTTTGTTGTTTTTCTGGCCAAAAAGGACTCTGTAGTTTCTAACTTAGTAGCGAGGTGCTTGTTTTTTTCTAACCTCCATGCGCAAAATGATGTCGACTTCGGCACAGACCCAGACTGATTTGATCGTACTTTTTAATTTCGTTGGTTGAGGGGAAATTCGTCATCCAGTGAGGTAGACTGAATAGTTTTTCAATGTATACAATAGCATCCAATCCCAGAGCTCTCATGGTTATATAGGGCGGGAGGGGGACCCATTTTTCCCCCCAAAGCCCCCACCTCTCCCACCACCCACATCCTTCTCTCCTCCCTGCATTCACCTCCCCATTCCATACACTGCAACTGAGTGCTCAAAGAGGAGTTTGAGGACCCCCAGGGGTCCTTGGAGAGCGGAAGAATAGTTTGATGTTATAATTTGATTCAATTTAGTGTACATTATGGTGTAAAATGATTATTCTAACCCGGGGCCTCAGTTGCACTGTTGTTTCTCAGTGCTCTACAGGTCTATGCTTTTCTTGTCTATGGCAAAAAACAAAATAAAAAACAAGCATTTTCTTCTCCCCTACTGAGATTAACTGCAGCCAATACAGCCACTGAGTCTGGATGAAATGACTGAAGGTACAGTTAAAATAACCCGAAGGCAAATCTTTTCATGTGCTAAAAAAGTAGCCTATCATCTGGCTATGCCTGTTTCGATTTATTGACATTTGACTCCTTTCCTTTCTTCCTTTCCTTTCCTTGCCTTGTGTTTGTGCCACACGGCCATGACACATTATTTGGGGTAGACTGTTAAGTCACTTTTCCCCGAGCATGCATCATTAGGTTAAAGTTCATAGATGTAGCACTGTGAGACTGTATTGAATTATCCATGCAGTAGTCTCGGTCTGGCTAAATAATACATTTATTTCACAGTTGTGCTGAAGCCAACAGCCCTGTCTTTGCAGAATTTAGGGAAATCGAGCATGAAGAATGTGGGTCTACGCACAGGAAAATAATGTATATAGCCTAAAATAATGTGGACTGGGGAAATTGAGTGGATAAGACGACAGAATTTGAAGAAGGTGGATCATTACTGTGTATGTTGGATGGTATTTTTCTTGTTTTGGTACATAAAACCTAAGCTGGCCTCCATGTGGTGCTGGGCGTGCCCCCAAAGGGGCTCCGCTTTTGTTTTTCTTGTTTGTATGATCTGGTGGTTTTTGAGTGTGATAGTGATGTTGATACTTGAAGTGATATAAAATATTGATTTATTGATTACTGTCCAAACTTTTAAAACACAGGATTTGACATTTTGCACTTCACAAACAGCAACCAAAAAAATGCACTTTACATTTTTATCACTGGGAAAAAAAATGCTGTGATTTCTGTTGGGAAAAAAAAATCTACTTAAAATACTTTCAACAAGCTGAGCGAGGATCTAATGGGCTGTGTTGGGATAATGCGTGTGCCGGCTGATGTTTGTGGTTTCTATGAACCTTAAACTGCATCACTTGGCGCTGGCTTTTGAAAGTTTTCCAGAATATTTTTGGAGGTATTTCCAAATCAGCACCCAAACAGTTGGGCACCCTGTCACTGATGTGGGTTTAGAGAGTGGCGCTGGGATGTTTTCATTTCCTCTATATGATTCATGACCCTGCCGAAATATTCTGACACCCCCACAATTTACCGCGCCTCCGCAGGGGAGGGAAAGAGAAAGGAACCAAGAGGGAGATAATTAGACAACTGTGCCTTAGCTGTACCCTCTTGCAACAAGGAGAAATTCAAATAAATTGATCGCATTATTTGATGGACCCGGGGTATATTGAAGGGGTAATGACAGTATCACACACTTTGAGGGCTGAGCAATTTAATTACATTTATTGATTTCCAGTTTCTGTTCCAGTTCGATGATAATTACATTTTTGAGGCTCGCGCCAAACATTAGAATGCAGAGCTACACCACCTTCCAAGATGTAACTGCATTATAATGCAGTTTTAGGAGTCGACACAGGTAGTGATCTTTCTCGACTTAAATTCAAGTCGAGTGTGCAGTGCCCGTTCTGACTGTGTTACTGAATTAAGCCACCGCATCCATGGTGGTGATCAGTTTGAAACTGGAAAAAGTAGAAGGTGATGCAGGGTAATCTGAGGGGAAAAGAAGCCCCGTTTTTATTAAAGTGAAAATGACACCGCCTCAGATTTATGTGAAGTTACAGATCTGAGGCATTTCTATTCTTTTTTTTTAACCCTTTCATGCTCTGTGCTGTTGGCTATAGAGAAACCAACGCAGGGTTGCCTTCCAGTAAAAGTTTAAACTGGCTTTTACTGCACTGCAGCTCAGCATCGTCCAGCAGCGCCCTGCACTGACCAAATATGTGACCAAATATGTAAAATATGTACTACTGGGCATTCCTGATCGATTAGTCTGACTTGAGGATAAAATATATTTATGATCAAATTACATAATTAGGCAGCACGGTGGCACGGTGGTTAGCACTGTTGCCGCACAGCAAGAAGGTCCTGAGTTCAATTCCAACATCAGGCCGGGGTCTTTCTGTGTGGAGCTTGCATGTCCTCCCTGTGTTTGTGTGGGTTCCCTCCGGGTACTCCGGCTTCCTCCCACCGTCCAAAGACATGCAGCTTGTGGGGATAGGTTAATTGGAAAATCCAAATTGCCGTTAGGAGTGAATGTGAGCGCGAATGGTTGTCTGTCCCTGTGTGTTGGCCCTGCGACAGACTGGCGACCGGTCCAGGGTGTACCCCGCCTCTCGCCCTATGACAGCTGGGATAGGCTCCAGCGCCCCCCGCGACCCTGAAAAAAAAAAAGGAGAAGCGAATGGATGTTATTGAGTTGAATCGCCTTTTCACATGATATTGCAAACCGCTGTGCAGTGTTTTAGCATCTGACAGAATGGCAGAGTGTTCTCTCTCTTGCTGAAAGTGGATTGCCTCTGTTGGATTTCTTTATTCCTTTTGTTCCTGAAACAACAAGTTTGCAGGCTGAAGGCAGGCTAGATGCTGATGTGCACTTGCCATTCAGTTCATACAGTTATATGAAACTGCAAGCAGTGCAAATCCATGTACTGTTCTGGCTGTAAAGCAGCATGTGTGTACTTTAATCAGTCAGCTGAACTACAGAAGGGAAGAAAAACTTTAGCTTAACATTTTGAGGGAGAAAATACACAAATCCTAAATGGCTAACATATGGGACTTTAACTGCTGTGGTGGGTTCAAAGCCACTATGAAAATAATACAGGCTATTTTTGACTTAGGGGAACTGGAAAAAGCAGCCAAACACAGGAAAATTATAAGGCATTTTTAGTCCGCTCTTTAAATAAAACTAGATTCTGGCTCTTTCAAGCTTTGCTCCGTAGTTGCACTCTGGTCCATGCACCATTTGGCTTGGAGACACTTTGTACTAATGTACTATTACGGCTTGTTATGATCAAATTCTCGTCAGTACATGGACTGTTCAGATTATAGCAGTACTCCTACTTGGATTCAGCTTCTGTTTAGCTAAATACTGCATGCCTGTGTCGCCGTACAGTTTATGTAAGAGAGCAACAGATCAAGTGACTTGTCATCATAATTGCAAGTTGATTCTCAAGATGTGAGTTCTTTGCTGCTGCCTACATTTACATAAAGTTCAGTCATTACTGCGTCTACATTTTCGCCCTATAGCTTTCTTTTTTTCCCTTCTTGCTGTGCTCCCCTCCCCCCCTTGATTTGTTTATTGATCTCCATCTTTTGCAGCTTTTATTATATGTCATATCATCCTTTCTCCCCTGAGAGTTCAACTCAAAACAGCCCACACAGCAGCACAGATACAGAGCCCTGTGTGTCTGAGTTACATTATCTGCTAATTAGTGCGGACTATTAAAATACTAAAAATTTAACTCACTAAAACTGAAGCAGAAACTCCTTGAATCGTTTGTACCACACAGCACAGTCTGTTAGATAATTCCTTTTAAAATGCTCCAACAGGCAACAACAGCACAGACATGGTGGAGAGGTGCATTAATTGACTTT